CAAAACCCCAAAACCCCAAAACCCCAAAACCCCAAAACCCCAAAACCCCATAGATGAAAATATCTCTGATTATAAATGATTATAATTATAATCAACTACTTTATAACAAATCATTAACAATGTCTCTTCTTTTTTCCAATAGCTACCTTTTTCTTTCCTTTTCTCTAATTTAATCAGCATTTAATTTTTGCAATCTCTCTTGAATAAGACTTTTTTCATCAAATTATATACCTTTTTTCCCGTATAATTGCAAGTCCCTTTTAGCATCGTCCTCAAATTTCCTATTTAGCTTTTTATATGGGATGAAAGAATTAATACTTTAACTTCTCTTGTAAAAATTCTGATAAGTTGATTAATAGTTTTATTAAGAATCATTAGGCTTTAAGATATTACTATATTTTTGTGTTCCCTCCGATTTAGAAGCTTAGAGAAAACTTTCATTTGTGTCTAGAGGCGATAAAGCACTAACCAAACCTTGGTTAACTTAAACTTTATTCTTTCCATTCTGAACTGTCTAATAATTTTAGTGGTTTGATTTAGATTCCAGCAACTCACTAAGCCTGTTCATAGTATATCCTTTACTCATAGTTAGTGTAGATATTTAAAGGTCATCTATTGTTTATTAAATAATGGACTTGAATCTTAGCGTATCCAGTTTCTAATCTTTTGTAGTACTATTAAAATTTTATTGAGTTTCTTATAGTTTATTTTGGTGTTGCTGCCTCTCGAATCTCTCTTCTCTTTAATCATTTATATTACCAGAATACCTCTAGGAGCTATTTTTGTTGTTAAAATCATTTATCTTTTGCTTGCTATGTTTTACCTTTCCTTTCGCTTATTACTCTATTATGAATGTGGCTGTTTAGATCTAATCTTAAATAATATTGTGCTGCTCTTTAAGGTATTATTCTTGGGATCTAAACTGTCGATTCAGTTTATCGAAATTACCAAGATTTTTTGTTTAAACCTCAATACTATCTTAAATATTCACATGTTGCTAGTTAAGTAACTAGATTGTTTGAATCTCTTTGTAATTTAGTTCCAATTGCTATTGATATTCAAGTTTCATTTATTATAGCTTTAATTCTAGCCCCTTATACTACTTTTATTAGTTTAATAGCTACACTCTTAAGTCGTATTCAGATTAGTTGGTATTTTCATGATTCTTTAATTGATCTAAATATTAGCCAAACATCTTTTCAAATACTTCTTTCAAGTCAAATTACTTAGTAAAACTTTGAATCAAATGCTTAAACTTATCACTTATCATTATTTTATCATCCAAAAGCATTTCATAATTCAAGAAGGAGAAATCATTCAACTAAACAATGCGGATGCTCTGCAGTTCTTTGTACTTATTCTCCATACTAATAATGTACTCCTGCTGAGAAGTTACTAACTTGTTTAGCAGCAAGATGCTCTTTGATAGCTTGAGGCTCTTTAAATTATCATCAAGCTATTCAAGGTTGAAATCTGCAAATGATGCATTTGATATTTGGCAAAACTAGTTCACATTTGAAATCACTTTGTTCGTTTGATTGTTAAGAATTTCAATGTTATCAATAAGTTTTTAATAAACTAGGGATCTAATATCTTAATCTAGCACAGTCTATTTTATCTGCTCAGATGTCAAAGTTTCCATTCCCTTTTTATTACTTTTTCTTATTTGAATAATTACTTTCTAAATTATCAAATTAAGTTGCTAATCGTTTGCAAGGGGTTTTGGGGTTTTGGGGTTTTGGGGTTTTGGGG